TCTAGACCCGAAACGTCAGCTTTCCTGCTCCTCTGATGCTGCTTGGCTTGCTGTGTTCATCCAGCTCTACACCTTGTTATCTCAGATTCTCCAGCATCTGCAGTTCCTACTATCTCATTCAACATATAGGGATCGTTCAAGAAGTGCTCTCAGTGTTGCACTACGCAGCGTGATCTGCCCATAAACCACTGCTGCACAGTAATGTTCATCCAAACCACTGCCAGATGATCTTTCGGTCAAAGATATGTTACATGCAAACTGTTCCATGAAGATATGTGGTACAGCAGAGTCAAATTAGATGGAACACTCTTTGGCAACATAGCCAGATGCATCCTTCACAACACTGGGACAGACAGAATTTCAATAGTATTTGGTGTTTGTGCTCCGATGGCCTACGAACAGATAAATGTATCAACCCACAAAGGTGACCATCAGGATGGCATTGAGTAAGTTTATCCCTCCTTGAGAGATTTGCATAAAATGTCCATGTGAACATAGTGCATTCTCATTCTCTAGATAAATACGATGATAGATCTGACTATGTTGCCACAGAATGCTTCATTCAGTTGGACCATGCTGTGCGCTGCCTGTCCATCATGAAAATTTTAAGCAATATAACATCTCTGGTCACAGATCCACCCAGCAGTGGTGTACACATAACATTCTTGAAGAACTAGTTGAAAGTGCGAAGTGATTGATTTTGGAAGGTCGAATTTGAATGCAGAATACAGGGTTAATGGCAGGATTCTTGGCAGTGTGGAGGAACAGAGGGATCTTGGGGTCCACGTCCATAGGTCCCTCAAAGTTGCTACCCAAGTTGATAGGGTTGTTAAGAAGGCGTATGGGTATGTTGGCTTTCATTAGCAGGGGAATTGAGTTTAAGAGCCATGAGGTTATGCTACAATGGTTACGCTATAAAACCCTGGTTAGACCACAGTTGGGATTTTGTGTTCAGTTCTGATCGCCTCATTATAGGAAGGATGTGGAAGCTTTAGAGAGGGTGCAGAGGAGATTTACCAGGATGCTGCCTGGACTGGAGGGCAGGTCTTATGAGAAAAGGTTGAGAAAGCTAGGGCTTTTCTCATTGGAATGAAAAAGAATGAGAAGTGTCTTGATAGAGGTGTACAAGATGATGACAGGCATTGATAGAGTGGATAGCCAGAAACTTTTACCCAGGGCGGAAATGACTATTACAAGGGAGCATAATTTTAAGGTGATTGGAGGAAGGTCGTGATCAGAAGGAATCATCCTATCAATTTCTTCATACACATAATGTTTCTCTGCCACTGTATCCTGGCCTCAGGGCATCTGCAGTAGGAGGAAACCAGTGCTCATGTGCTTCTGGAATACGCCTTTGTAAAGAACGTTTCGTTTTTGTCAAGCAGCTCTGTAACGCAAGCTATACATTCCAGGAGGATGTCTGGCATAAAACAGGAATTATAACTTAGAATTCTATCTATAGTTTGGCTTCTTAAATACACTATAGAAGAATGTCAACTCTACTGCACTTCATTCAATGACAAATTTGAACTACTGCATGATAAAATGTGCAAACTTTATACATTTCTTTTGTGAAACTGCAAAATAAAACTTTTTTTAAATGAAAGAAATCTAAGGAGCAATTCCTAATTCTGCATAGTTTAATAAGATTGTTAGAACAAGGTGCAGCCAACTCAAAACACAGGAAACTAAGCCAGTTTCCACTCATTAATCCTGCTCACCGAAGATAAATGCCATGTCCACATATGCAGAAATACACTACATGCTGAGGGGAGCAGGCACATGGGACAAATGCACCCAAAGGAATCCTGCCAGTGCAAATGCTGCCAGTATCTGTAATCTCCAATTCTTTCAGTCATTTCTCTAATCCAACCTCAGACCTCTACGACAGTACTGGCCAAAAGTGTCTCGCAGAGGCACTGTGCCAAATGACTGGCAGTGTTCTTGGTGGGCCATCCTCCTGAATCTGCCGTCATACTTTCCACCACTTCTTTGAGGATGTTATGCATATACCAATGCTGGATGGATGTGACCAGATATTTTATTGCTCCTTATTTTCACAACAGCCACACTCGAAAACTGAATATTCACAATCTAAGAGATGGCTAGGGGTGATCTACTGGAATTTAACAGTGTCCAGAAATAACACACAAGCCACTGATGATGTGGGTGAAGTTTAATGAGAATACCTAATAGTAGAGAGTCACGTACAAGAATAGGAGTAGACCATATGGCACAATGATCCTTTTCCACAACTCAGTACAACACTTGTTGATCTTGGGTTTCAAAGTCCACTTTCTCACCTGCTCCCCATATCTCTCGATTCCCTCAAAACCAAAAAAAAGTTTGAATACATTTGCATCCAGGATAAAATGAAGGATCTTCAACATACCGGGTCACAGACTTCCAAATGCTGACCCCTACCTTTTGAATGAAGTGAATTATCTTCACCTCACTCTTTAAATGATCAGTTTCTGGTCCTGAGACTGTACCTTTGAGGGGAAGGAAAAAAAAAGTACAGATGCAAGGAATGGGCCAGCGCCGGCTCTCAGATGACGGGCCGAACGGACACCGGCGGTGTAAAATTCTGGGTTTCGGGGGCGCGGGGAAGAGAGGTCGTGGTAGTGAGAGACAGAGAAAGGATCAGCCTACGTCCGCTGCTGTACACCGTACCGCCAGGACATACCTGCCCCAGTCACCCACCTAGTTTCAGGACGGAGGCCAACAGGATCCACAGCGCCACAACGAACGGGGACCTGACATGACCGAAGTCGACGGTCACCACCGGGAAGGCCTTGCTGCTCTTGTTACTGTGATAAGTTCTCGAGCTGTCGGACTCATTCGCCTCAGTTTCCGGGGCCGAAGCCGGTGTTCCTGAACACAGGTTCAAAAGAACCGAGGAGACGAGCAGCAGGCACACAAGGGAAAGCCGGGATGGGAAAGCCGCCATAAGCAGCATCCCAACGGTGACTAACGCTAGGGAGCAGAACCGACAACTGAACCCAGCAGCAGTCCGCCAACTGTAGCGCCACCTGCAGCCCTGGAGGACTGAACAATCCGACCACAGCGTCAGCGATCAACCAAAGTAATCAGCGAGCACTTTCTCGTAGGGTTGGAACAATCCTTCCCAATTTTTTGTTTCCCCCCCACTGCAACCATATTTCAGTGCTTGAAAACTGTTGCGACTCCTCAGTGAAAGCAATGGCTGTTCTAACTCAGTCATGGAGGCATTAACAGATTTTGCCTCGGATCTTGTGACCCAGCCCGATCTCACTTACTAAAATTCAAACCTAGCCCTGCAAGTTACAGCACTTGAGGTGTATATCCATAAACTTTTTAAATCCGTTGAAGATTCCTGCCTCTATTACCCTTTCAGGCATTAAAAATGCGTACCGGATCCCACACGTTCTGCACCAAAACGTTTTCCCTCATCTCTCCCATAATGTTGCTGCAAATCACTTAAATCTATGCCCCCTAGTCACTGACCTCCCTGCTAAGGTAAATGTCTACTCTACCTAGGTCCATCACAATTTTATACATTTCAATCAAATCTCTGATCAGCCCCTCTGTTCCAAGGAGAAAAGCCCCAGCCTATTCAATCTTTCCTGGCAACATCCACTTATAGACCCATATTTGTACCCTCTCCAGTGTAAACATATTCTTTCTGTACCGAGTGACCAGAAATCCACACAGTCCCCAAGTTGAGGCCTAACTCAACATAATCTCACTGCTGTTGTATTCTACACCTAGGCTAATATCCTTAACCACCTTATCAACCTGTCCTACTACTTTTAGGAATCAGTGGACTCTAAGATCCGTCATTTCACAGAATCACAGAATTGTTACAATGCAGAAAGGAGCCTCCACCCATCCGTCTGAATGTACATTATGACTTTGCGCATTTCTCCTGTCTTTTGCCAATGATATTTCTCAGTATCCTTCCTTAGTTGTGTGTTCTGATACCTTATTTGACCTTTCCAAATAGATCACCTCACAGTTCTCTAGGATGAATTCTAATTGCCACTTTTCTGCCCACCTGACTAGTCCATTGCCATCTTCCTGCAGTCTACAATTATCTACCTTGCTATCAACCAAGCAGTCAATTATTGTGTAATCTGCAAAATTCTTGGTCATGGCCCGTACATTTAGATCCAAATCCTCAATATATATAACAAGAAGCAGAACTTAGGACCAAGCCCTGTGGAACCCCACTGGAAACTGTTTTCCAGTCTCAAAATAACTCATCATCAACTACATTTTGTTTCTTGCCACTGAGCCAATTTAGTTACATTCCCTTGGACTTCAAGCGTTTTTATTAAAAAAATGTTTGCCATGTAGGATCTTGTTGAAAGCCTTGCTAAAATCAACTGCACTACCCTAATCAATTCTACATATCACACTCTCAAAACATTCAGTAAAGTAAATCAAACACAATCTTTCCTTAACAAAGCTATGCTGACCATCCTTGATTAATCCACACTTTTCGAAGTCACAGCTTATCATAGAATCCCTAGTGTTGAAACAGGCCATTCAGCCCATCAAGTCCACACCAACCCTCCAAAGAACATGCCAACCAGACCCAACCCCCTACCCTATCCCTGTAACTCTGCATTTCCCATGGCTAATCCATGGATATTATGGGCAATTTAACATGGCCAATCCACCTAACCTGTACATCTTTGGACTGTGGAAGGAAACCAGAGCACCCAGAGGAAACCCATACAGACACGGGAAGAATGTGTAAACTCCACACAGACAGTTGCCTGAGGGTAGAATCAAACCTGGGTCCCTGGCACTGTGAGGCAGCAGTGCTAACCACTGAGCCATCGTGCCATAAGTATCATGTCTCACAATTGATTCCATTAATTTACCCACTACTGAGGTTAGATTGAGAGTTCTATAATTATTCAGACTGTCCCTTTGTTTTAAATGCAAATTAAAAAATTAGCAATCCTCCAATTCCCTGGTACCACACCTGATATTTAATGGGGCTTTTTAATCTCAGAGTCATCATTTTGAGTCCCAGCTTGGGCAATGAGAGTTTTACTTATTTTAATGGTTTTTTTAGATTCAAGACATTGCACAATTGTGGTACAAGAATGATATAAAGCAAAAAGAGACTTCTTGTGGGAGCCCAACTACTGAAAAAACACACTTGTAGAAAATAGTAAACATTAATTAAATGGTGCAAGATGGAAGAAGCCCATACATTTAATATTTCATGAAGCATTTTTGATAATAATTGGAACAAAAAAGAATCCTGATGTATTTCAATTGAAAATTTTAATAATGACTGGCAAATGAACAGAACATTTTGGGGAACAGTCAGTCCTAGCATGATTCTTAATAGCAAATTTCAGTTTGCGTTTCAAAACTTGATTTTGGATATCTATCCAAATGTAATCTGATAAAATGAGTTACTGACATAAAGCACCAATTCTACTTAAAAACATTGCTCCCTTTCTGCCACAGACACCGCCTATAGGCATGTGCAAGACGTGCTCCCCCTGGTGTTGTGGCATTCATAAATGCAGCCTTTCTAATTATCCAAGGGGATTGTAATTGATCTATTTAACAATTGATACACATTCTTAAAGGTTATTTGCAAGCATTTGTAAAAATATTACAGGTTCTATGGATATTTAAAATTAATGACAAATTTTGTTTATTATCCTGCTTCAATAGTCATTAACAAATTCAATAACAGGGAATTCAGGAGAATGTATCACCCACAAAAGAAATTATGGAATTTGCTGCTAGATAAAATGATTGAAGTGATCAGTGTGCGTACTTTTAAGGGAAAGCTATACAGCCACAAGAGGAGAAATTAATAGAAATATGTGCCATCTTTGTATACAGGAAAAGCTTACAATGAGATTGATCATTTTGTTTTCTATTCAATGGCCTCCTCAGACGTTGAGTGGAGAAGCGATGTACCTCCTACAATAAATTTTAGTGTGTCCCAAGGTCGAGGGCAAATCGAGTCATTGAGTCATAAGGCTGTACAGCACGGAAACAGACCCTTCACCCTAACTCATCCATGCTGATCAGATATCCTAAATAAATTGAGTCCCATTTGCCAGTATTTCACCCATATCCATCTAAACCCTTCCTATTCATATACCCATTCAGATGGTTTTTAAATGTTGTAATTGCACCAGCCTCCACCATTTTCTCTGGCAGCTCATTCCATTCATGTATCATGATCTGCGTGAAACAGATGCCCCTTAAGTCCCTTTTAAATCTTTCCTCTCTCACCGTAAACCTATGTTCTTGAGTTTTGGGCTCCCCACCCTAAGGAAAAGACCTTGTCTATTTACCTTATCCATGCCTCTCATGATTTTATAAACCTCTACAAGGTTACCCCTCAGCCACCAAGGCTTCAGGGAAAATAGTCCCAGTCTATTCAGCCTTTCCCTATAACTCAAACCGTCCAACCCTTGCAACATCCTTGTAAATTTTTTTGAACCCTCTCAAGTTTAATAACATCCTTCTGTAGCAGGGAGACCAATAATGGCCTGTACAGCTGCAACATGACCTCCCGACTCCTATACACAATGCACTAACAAATAAAGGTAAGCATACCAAACGCCTTCTTCACTATCCTATCCATCTGCAACTCCACTTTCAAGGAACTATGAACCTGCACTCCAAGGTCTCTTTGTTCAGTAACACTCCCAGGACCTTACCATTAAGTGTATAAGTCCTGCCCTGATTTGCCTTTCCAAAATGCAGCTCCTCACATTTATTTAATTTAAACTCCATCTGCCACTCCACGGCCCGTTGGCCCATCTGATCAGGATCCCATTGTACTCTGAAGTAACCTTCTTCGCTGACCACTACACGTCCAGTTTTGGTGTCATCTGTAAACTTACTAATCATACTCCTATGTTCACATCCAAATCATGCAATGATGGAAACTGTCCACCCAGTATCGATCCTTGTGGCACACTGCTAGTCACAGGCCTCAAATGGCTTAGTCACACTTTTATCATCTCTCATTTTTTACTGAGGAGCAGGTGACTGCATGATTGACATTGAGGGCATTCAGTTGATCTCTGTTCAGTGTCTTTGGAGGTTGTTTTCAGGACCACCGCCATTTGGTCAGTGATGAGGTGTTGCTCTTTACACTGCATGTCTCCCATGATTCCATCTATCTGGATTGATACCAGCTATATGAATATTAGCTACCATGATGGCATCATGGAAGATTGCATTTGGAGGAATATGGAATAGCACCAGGAGGAATTCAATTGATACAAACTTAAAGCATCTATGATATTTGGACCAATACAATGTGGAACTGGAGGACACAGCAGGTCAGGCAGCATCAGAGGAGCAGGAAAGTCAATGTTTCGGGTCGGGGCCCTTCATCAGTACTGGGAAGGGGGAAGGGGGCTGGGAAATAAATAGAGGTGTGGGATGGTGATAGGTAGATGCAGGTAGGGGGTAGTGGGGGTTAGCGAGTGGGAAGGGTGGGGTGGATAGGTAGGAAAAAAGATGGACAGGTTGTGTCAGGTCAAGGAGGTGGAGATGAGAGGGAGGGTTGGACATGGGATGAGGCCGGGGGTGGGGAGATTTTGACACTGGTGAATTCTATGTTCAGGCCATCAGGCTGCAGGCTCCTGAGGCAGATTACGAGGTGTTGTTCCTCCAGTTTCCGTGTGGCATCATTGTGGCACCGGACAAGGCCTAGGATGGACATATCACCAAGGGAGTGGGAGGGGAGTTAAAATGGCAATCAGAAGGTGTTGTTGATTATAGCGTACAGAGCGCAGATGCTTCACGAATCGGTCACCAAGTCTGTGCTTGGTGTCACCGATGTAGAGGAGGCCACATCGGGAGCAACGGATTCAGTAGACCAGGTTGGAGAATGTACGGGTGAACCCCTGTACGATATGGAAAGTTTGTCTTGGACGTTGGATGGAGGTGAGAGGGGAGGTGTAGGGGCAGGTGTAGCACCTCCTGGAATTGCAGGAAAAGGTGCCGGGTGTGATGGTGTTGGTGGGG